CAGGAGACGCAGTAGACAATACTTGCGGTTTTTCGGGGTGACATGCAACTTTCTTTATTATGAGCTATTGTGCGCTTTGCGCAGGTTGTTGGGAAATATCAAAGAAAAAGATAATGTGATATACTTTAAGACCTGGTTAGACATGCGGGTAGTGAATGGGAGCAGGTGAATCTGGATGGTGTTTGTGAAATTCCTTAGGGCCAGGCCTATACAGCAGTGAGTTAATGACGATGATGATAATGATGATGAAGGTTGTTCATTGACTGTCCTACAAGCAAAGTAGGTATTTCTTGAAAAACTTATCAAAAAAGTAAAGTCGGCATTTATTAAATAGTAAGTAGCCTGTATTCACTACGTTGAGCCGTTAGGCGGTTTAAGTCTTCCTCAGGAATCAGACTTCAAATAATTTTTATTATTGTTAAGGTACTATTTTACCTTTCTACCTTTATTCTGGATCATATTACAAAAAGCTTGCATCCAAAATCAAGAAAATTGTTGCCGGGACCTTTTTTAATTGCTTTGAGACAATTTACTCAGATACATTTCCAGACCCAGAACAATATTTTTAGCTCATACAAAAACTTGTTCCGTTTGGAGTTTGAACTCTTGGGCCTTCAATAATAGGGTATTTTACACCATGTAAAATAAAATCTAAAAATATACATTTATGATAGATTTCATAAAAAGTAAACAAGAAATATTGATTTCTGTTTATAAAACTGCATTATAAATTTTAAATTTCCATATTAAGAATATTTTTTTCATCTATTCCTCAAATCTGCAAAACGCTGTCGGCCATATTAGATCATTTCGTGACGTCACTGATCCATTATAAGGATATTAGTGATCTGTGTCATGATTATAGAGAACTAGCTAACGTGCTGTGTTATTTCGAAATTTTTAAGTTATAATTACGGTTATTGAGTTTATTCCAAATTTTATTGAAAAGGCATCATGGAAGACGAATTCGTAAAAACAGAAAGTACTAATTTTTGCATGCAATTCCAATTTTTGTTCTGCCGAGTTGAGGAATGCTAAACATCAGTGTCAGTATCTATAACCAACTTTTGTTTGCACAAAAACACAATACCAGGTCAGAGTGTATTTTGATAAAACATAGTTTAGTAGCTGTCATAGTTTAATTTAATTACAATCATTAGCAATCATTAGTTATAATATAACTAAGTTAACGTAATTTATTAGATTTTGTAGACAATGCCTTCGGGTCTCTTCTTGCCAGTTTTAACTAAGTATTTCTCATATTTAAATCAGTTGGCACTTTAATATATAACGTTCTTACTCATATTTTTGCATTCAGGTAAAACACAATAATGATATAGATGATAACTCATTATTAAACATTAAAAAGTGTATTATACCTTTGCAAAATCACGTGACGTCACGAGTTGAGTGGCGGCTAGCGTTTTCGCGCGAAAATTTAAAACGATAGATTAGAAGTAATTTTTATGGCACTATTCGATTTTAAAAAAAATATATAAAAATTATAGTGGATCATTATCACTCTAGGATTCATTAATAACAATTTTTTAAAATAGGTAAAATACCCTATTGTTCCATATATGGGTTATTTATTGTCACTTTGCAATTTATGTATATCAAACGCATCTAAGAAATAGGGGAATTCTTAGTGTAATAATAATTATTTAAATTGCAATTTCTACTTATTATTTTAATTTTCGATTAGTATATACTTTTTTGCGATATTCATCATCAAAGGTAATTCAAAGTAAGTGACACGATATAATGTTAAAAATATGCACTGCTAAATGTCAATAAGTAGTAATTAAAAGAGGAAATATAGAAATTTATAAAAAGTTGTACAGGGTACAGTCACGCTACGATGACTGTCTGGGTTTAGAATTTGACTTGGTTCGAATTCGTTTGAATTTGGTTCTGGAAGCTGGTTGTGGAATTTTAATCTTTCAATAAAGTGTAGATGTATCGTGGGTTTAGTTTGCATACATAAATTGTACAAGCACAAGCACCGAAGCCCCTTATAGGCCAAACAAATACTTTTTCTGTGTGGAATTCGAACTTGCGGCCCATAACGCCGCAACTCATTGCTAAGTCACTACGCCTCAGGGTGGTCTTTTGAAGATATATGTCTATCCGCCACAGCATTCACTCTATAAGGTGGACTGTGTGCTTGTTTGTAACCTTTACTTCTATAAAATATTGCTTCAATTAATTCAAAACTGAAGTAGAAACATTAGTTATTAATTACTAAAAATTATTAAAGGCTATTAAGTTGAAACGTGTGTCTTTAAAATAAATAGTCAATTGCGACTATTCATGCTATATGATAAATTTAGATAATGCACGTGATTCTATTTACCAAGTAATTTATGATCGTATGACTACAAATTATGTATTGTAATACTCGCTAATGCTTGGGAAACCACGAGATGTACTCTAATATGAACAGTTGTGATTAAATGTAATATAAGCAGGGATGCGCGCGTACTGTACTCTTCATTTGTTGGGCGCTGGCAGAATAACAGCGTTGTAGGCAATTGCAACATTTATGCTGAGCTAGAGCCCATTCATTACTACACTATGTAATTTTGGTTATTTCTGTGTGTACTGCTCACTGTAACTTTATTGGTGGTAATGAATAAATGTTTTATTATTATTATTATGGGGTATCAATATAGTTTTCTCATCTGGTTGGGTTATATAAATATATAATGATAAATGGAAATGAAAAGATAAATATAAATAAATTTCGATAAAATTAAATAAATATAAAAATACATAAATAAATAAAAGCCCAACCAAATAGCGGCTCTCGGCAGGGGAGACCAAACGGCCGAGGGTTAGGGGGGAAAGGGAAAGAAACCGGCGGACGATGCGGGCGGTATCGAGGAGCACCGCCTTCTGCATTTGAGCCTGGAGCGGTCCGCCACGTAGTCCGCCACGTAGTCCCAGCCGCCACAGATGACCCAAGAGGCTGACTGGGATTAGCCCGTTTGCAGAGACGACTACTGGAATAATTTCGGTCGGCAGACCACCCCACGTGTCGGTCACCTCGTGAGCCAGGTCCAGATATTTTGTTCGCTTATCTGTTTCGGCTTTCACAAGGTTCTCGTCATACGGAATGGTAATGTCGACCAAAAATATCCCTGACTGTGCCCGGTCCATTAGCACAATATCAGGCTTATTCGCAAGAATAGTCCTATCTGTGATGATGGCCCGGTCCCAATAGAGCCTGGCTCGATCATTTTCGAGCACGGCTCCTGGCAAGTACTTGTAATACGGCAGTTTCCGATCCACGAGACCATATTTCAGAGTGAGCTCCTGGTAAAGAATTCTGGCTACTAGGTTGTGTCTGTGCAAGTACTCAGAGTTAGAAAGCGCCAAACAACCGGAGATGACATGCCTAAGTGATTCACCGGGATGGCGACAAGCTCGACAGATGTCGACGGTGCCATCCTTTAGGATGTATCTCCGATAGTTGTTGGTCTTAATAACCTGATCGTATATTGCACAGACAAAACCCTCGGTTTCCCCGAAGAGGTCATCGAAGGGTTGCCAGTGGAGGGCGGCTACTGTGTCTACGAAAGGCTCATGTAGAGCCTTGTAGAACATCCTATCCAGGGCATTAAGTTCAGTCTGAGTCCACCTGAGTATGTCAAAGGTATACATGAGGACAGGCATGACCCAGCCGTTATAATATGCGTGTGCCTTATTCACACCGGACAAAAGGCTGTTAAGCACTTTGGTCAAACGTACATAAAACATGTCGCAAACTGTTTCATACCAGCCTCATCGATACCGATGTTCTGTGACATACCCAGGTATCAGTATGTTTCAGCATCGAAAAAGGTTCTTAAGTTGACGGGCATAAATAAGTCTATGCCCTCAGAGTTAGCAACCCTTCCCCTTTCAACATGGAGGACCGCACACTTATCCGTCCTCAGCTCCATTCCAACGGAATTGCTAAATTCACAAGTGATGTTTAGCAATTACATAAGGTGGGAGCGACTGGAGGCGAATAACTTGAGGTCATTCATATAGAAAAGGTGGGTCACTTTTATCCCTCCTTTCCGTAGCTGAAATCTCCTCCCGGAGCCATCCAGTAAGGTACTGAGAGGGTTCACAGAGAGAGGCAGAACTAGATTGGGCTTAGACAATCGCCCTGGAAGATACCCCTTCTTATCCTTATGCGTTTCTCCGCAGCCATCATCCGCTCGCCCAGATGACAAAGGATCGTACTCCACTGCCCCATACACTGCTCAAGGAAGTCTCTAACTGTCAAGTCTATCTTGTACAGCTCGGGGACTCTCTTTAGCCACGTATGGGGCACCGAGTCGAATGCCTTTCTGTAGTCTATCCAGGCGGCGGAGAAGTTCCGAATGGTTGCGTTTTACCACTTTGCCAATGACCCCGTCAATGAGGAGTGGTTCCTTGGTTCCTCGGCCACCGCCCCGACATCCATTTTGAGTGCGCGACATCACCTAATTTGAGTCCAGGTGACGAGTGATTCTCGCGCTCAAAATGGATGTTAGCGTCTTGTATATGGTCGGTAGACACGTGATGTGGCGGTATTTGTTTGGGTCTGCGGTACCCTGGTCTTTAGGAACCAAATGGGTGATCCCAGTAGTAAAGAGGCTTAGGCACGACTTCTGGTTGAGAGCCTCTTGAAACTGTCGGGCGAGCACAGTATGACACACCACGAACCCCTTCATCCAGTAGTGATGCAGCCCGTCGAGTCCCGGACTTTTCCAGTTCGGGGCCCTACAGACCGCCTCAGCTACGTCATCCGGTGTTATAATAACGGGGTCCATGGGCGTTATACTCGCACACTGACTCGCCACAACTTCCTTCCAACGGCCCTCGCTGTGGTTTTTTATTTATTTATTTATTTATTTATTCACAAATTTCGTTACATGTGACTTAGAGACTAAACAAAACATGCAAGTTCTAACAATCACGTGCACCTCGAAAGGCATAGCAATGAACAGGAGAGGGGCAGACACTTAAAAATTCTTTTCCTCAATGTATTCGTTTACGGGCTCTGACCACAGGCCGCACCAGAATACTACACTGTCGGCCTGATTCGGTGCTGGGCCCGTTCCACTTACCATTGGTCGCTCCAATGATTCATAGAGCCTCTTCTGATCACTCTGGAAGAGACGATTCTGGTTGAACCGTGTCGACCTCTCGGTATATCGCCGAATCCACTTTGCCCAAGCAGCGATTCTCTGCTTCAGATCATCTATGCGCTCCGTCAGTTTTTGCGTTATATCCGGCTGGGACAAACTGACATACCTATGACACAATGCTAACGCCATCCTGACGGTGCGCACAATTCTTGGCCTGTTATTGCCTGATATGAAGCATATCAGTCTGCCGATGAGAGCTCTAGCCTTTGCGATACGTTCCTCAATTCTTCTTCTCCATGCTGAGATAGTGCTACTTTGGCCAGTAGCGCGTTCAGCCGTGGAAACCTTGGCGCCTATGATACGGCAGACTGCCAACGCGGCGCCAAAAAGAATTGCGTCCGTCTCGCAAAGGTCCCGGCTGGCTTCCAAACAGGACACCAGCATTGGGTTCAGAGCCCTAATGACAGCCCGATTCCGCTTGCTTAGGGCTATGCGGGGGAAGTCGCGATCGATTTTCGAGAGGCGTACTGCGCGTTTCCACAATCGCCTCTTCCAATGTACTCCTCATATGCTCTAATTTCCAGTTCCTGGGCGACTGTTTCCATCATCGTTTGAATCAACCACAACTGGGGTATTCACGGCGGCATCCACGTTTGCGGGTTGCTCTACTATTTGTGGCGCCGCATCCTCAGCCGTAGCATTTTCATCTGATGAGGGAACAGCCTCACGTCGTAGCCATACGAGTTCGGCGACATCAAATATATTTGAGCGCAAGATGTACCGAACTCGGTTTGCCAGGTTTTACTCTGTGACGGTTAAAGATGGCTCCAGCTCAGCAAAAAGACGATGCATCCTAGCCCGATACGCCAAACACCCAGTTTCTTCCCCTTTTGCTTTTTAGTAATTTCGTATGAGATCTTATTATTTATTTTTTTATCGATATTTACCTAGTAACCATAGAAGTATCGTTAGCATCGACTTTTTTATGTACGTAAGAACTATATTACAAACTAGATGACGAATCAAACAAAACCCATCAGTGATCTAATAATTATATTACGATGTCTAGAATGCTATTAAGTTAAAGCGCGTGATTTCGAAATTAATAAAACGATTATTCATACTATAGAATGCACTAAGATTACGCTCGTGTTTTCACCAATTTTTAAAATATATTTTTGGGCTTATGGCCACGATTTATAGTCTTACTTTGATTACTGTAGACACTAGTAGAATAAATTACTCCCTTGAAGTCTCTCGTAACAATGACATAAATTTAAGCAGGAAACTGTAATTGTAAGATAAAACTTTTTAAACTAAACGGCAATTGTTCAATGACAATACATCTTTATTTATAAGAAACTAAAATTTATTTTTTTATCCAAGTTTCCCCGGTGACCTTAGAGGCATTGTTAAGATCGAGTTTTGTTTATGTAAGTACTAGATGTGTTGATAACGAGATGACGAATCAAAAATAACGCACCAATGGTCATTGTGCTTACATTTTTAACCCTACATGAGTGAAAGTTGCGAGTTCCGGCATAATCTGACACCTGTGAATATACGAGAGTATATGTGGGCTAGCGGCGACCATGTGTTCATTTGGCGTTGAGGCAGAAAGCGGTGTACGCGCATCTCTGTATAAGAGACATCAACGTGCTCTCGCATTTACGATTTTATTTTGTTAATTATGAAACAAATTTTTTAATTAAGAAAAAGTGATTATTTGCAGTGTATTAGTTATTTAAGTGTTTAATCAGACTTATAATTTAAAGATGATGTCACAAAGTTAGTTTATGATTGAATAAATTTAAAAAATGTCTAAATTAACAAGAGTTATTTTAATATTTGCTGCGGCGTCAGCTGTTAGAATCGAAGATGAGGGTTTGGAGTCTTTGGACTCTCACGAAGTAATGATAGCACAGGAGTCTAGGAAGTATCACAAGCTAGTTGCGCCATCGGTCCGAATTACAAAGCCTAATGGTGTTACCAACTCGCACAGACCTCAGTACGATCTAGATTCCTTAGACGAGGAAATAGCTAACCCAGACGTACAGAACTTCTTCGAAGCTACGACTCGGAAAAGTCTGTATAAAACTTACAACCCTCATAATGCGAGGAATATGGAGGCAATGATCAGAGATGCGGTTCTTAAAGCCTTGGAGAGAAGAGATCATGTGGGAAAATTTGCACAAATTCTTCCCATTATCAGGGCAATGAGCCGAAGTCAGAGGGTCGCATTAGCGTCACTAGTTGCCAGTCAAGTAAGCACTCCACCAGGAAGGATTCCACTTAATCTTTCACAGGTAAGTAACCAATGAATTTATCTATTTTATTAAAATAATAGCGATCCGCCCCGGTTTTGTACGGGTGATTTATGGATCTTGACGATTGCGCCATCTGCAGGATTCATTTGTAAATATATACCATCCAGGAATCGGATGCAATTTACATACTATAGAATACTATATAAACTAGTTCTAGTATTTCTATTTGAGAAAAATAATAAAAGAGAAGAAAGACAGTAGGCTGTAAATAATGAAAAATATAATGAGTTTTGATGTATGATGTAGTACTAGTTTCTCCTTTGTATTGATAGTACTGGCAGCTTAAATCAGTAATGAACCAATTTGACTTGACCCTCACAAATGAGAGGAGACCTGCGCCCAGCAGTAGAACTTAGGCTGTAGAAAACTTTATTGTCCGGCCAGAAGGATATAAGGAACCAGTAAAATTACAGTCTGTGAGGCATTGCGTCTTTAATTTATTTTCTAAGTTAGTAAAATTATATAGTTTAATTGATTTACGCGGTAGAGTCATGCTGAAGCTATATTATGGTATGAAGGACCACTCTCCCACATAATAACACCGTAAAATAGCACCTCAATGCTGCTGTGAGTGTATCAGAAACGGAAAACCTTTTTACTGCAAATGAGGCATTCCATTTTCGTCCTCAGGAGTGATAACGCATCTGCATTTTGGTTCTTAACCAAGGATAGATGTACATACACATAACATGAGGTGAATTATCTGCTAGCTTAGCTGGATTGTTTATTCTAAAAACAAAAATTTTTCTTATAACTGTAGTACAGCTAAGATCTTTCATAACATGAAAAGAACAAGATACGAATATGGTTTTCATTCATCAGAATGAAACAATGAAACACAATAATAAACCATAAATCTAGTAGACAAGATCTAACCGGTGGCCAGCAATTGCTTTTATCTTATGATTGTTCTTATAATTGAAGCTAGGCGCCTTGAAAATAGCCCAATCTGATTATTATAAGATAGGACCAAAACTCAAACTATACGAAATTTATTTATATATTTTTAAACAATTTTTCACGGTTTACAAATGAGTTAAAAGCCCACCTTGGTAGTTTGTGGATGCTGAGGCTCATAGACCTTCATCCAATCCTACCGTAATGATTCATAAAATGAATATGCTGCATATTTTAAAATAAATGACAAATTTGTCAAAAAATCTGCAGTTTATTTTTTTTAAAAGTAAGGGTGTTAAACGAGCACGCAGTCAACCTGATGGAAAGCTGATCCTAAAGCCCATAGACGCCAACATTAGTCCTCAATAAAGAATCAAATGTATGAAAATGTAGATTGCCTTATCACCTCTGAGGATAGATTCAATAGATTCGACTAAAAACATATTTATCTACGGGTCACGTCAGCTATTTACAATAAGACAATAGTAGATAAATATAAAAGGTTTTCGGGTCTCCACTCATCCACATATTAAAGCATACTCTTATACTTCACACAAGAATTAGGAAAGCTTTTTTTTACTGTAAATTATAGAAATACTTGCATTTTAATGTACAGAAATTCTGGAGCGGTGTAATTCGAGCAAACTTTGCTACTTTACCCTTACTTCTATAAAAAACTTGAAATCTAGATAGAGTTATATGACGAGTTAATAAACCAAAACGTGCAGGGAGCAATGTCTTTCTAATAAGAGGTACAGCCACACTGCAGCTATATTATGGTTGTAGCACCAATGGGTCAGCTCAACCCGCGAAACCGCTGTTGTGTTTTGTATGGTGAGTGTAGATATTCAGAGGACCTTTTTACTGGAAACGAGCCATCTTAGCCCTCATGTTGACCATGCATCTGCATTTTGATTCTTAATCGAGGATAGATTAAGGTGTCTATGGGCCATAATATCTCAACCGATATATAGACTTCACCTTATATATATGGAGATCTATATATATATATATATATATATATATATATATATATATATATATATATATATATAATTAATTAATTATGAACAATCTGAAAGTATGGACATTAACAATTGAGAACAATCATTACATAATGTGACATTTTAAGTTCTATTACTTAAATGACATTATAATATTATATATATAATGGTAGAATGTAAATGGGCCATTAGACATAATTTAAGATAATACTTTATTGTACACATACATTCTGGCAAATAAATAAATTTGAATTTGAAAAAAATAAAAATAAAATCAGTGACACATGATGATACACATAAAGGCGATACTTGCGAGTGATTAATGATGAAAATGCGCTACATGTATATATATATATGACTGTCGTCAGATTTATTTTTCATTAAAACACATAAATTCATATAGGTCGTAAAAACATTTTTCTTTTAACCATTGTTTCAACTTTTTTTAAACATGGTTAAAGGTAATACTTTAAAGTCATTGGGTATTTTGTTATATACCTTTATAGCATTTATGTAAGAGTTCTTTTCATACATTTAAAGTGACATGTTACAAAAACATATAATAATAAAATAAAATAATACTTTTGAACCACTCTAAAAACTTTATAGAGCAAAATAGACTTAGAGATTAAAAAAAATTCCAAGAATACCGACAAGTACTAATATTATAACTGAAACAAAAACTTATTTAAGGAACGAATAGGCATCTTTATATTTTCCGGAGGAGGTGCGGGTCAAGTCTAAAGCGTTTATTTTATGGAAAAAGAGCCTCAAAATGATATTTTGTGACAAAAAGAGCATCGTTGGCAGTAATATAATAATATATAATAAAAGCTAAACTACAACCTAGACTTCCCTGTAGACTTGTAACCCAAAATACGCTGATGTACCGGAACCAGTACTTAAACTGGACACATTAACCTTGCAGCAAAACCGGAAAAGTGAAAACTTTTATCTAACTGAAGAACCGTAACGAAATTAGGAACCGGTTTGCGAATTCTGAGTTGTCGACTTTGGTAATATTTACGTAACATAGATATGAGCTTCCAACCCGTGCCTATTAATGCACATATTTTCCAAATTCTTCTTGATATTTTTTGTAAGTATGTTTGTTTGTTTTATATGTTCCACGTCGTATAACCAAGCTGCAGCGGTGTTATGGTTGTATCAAATATTTTTCAGTTCGACCAGGGAATTACCACGCTGTCACAGAATACCAGCGTAAAATAGCAGCATAATGCTGCTGTGTTTCGTATGGTGAGTATAGAGAACTGGTGACACTTTTTACTGAAAACGAGGCGTTCCATCTTAGTCCTTAGGGGTGACAACGCATCTGCATTTTGTTTATTTATCGAGAATTAGTGTAGATGGCATCAGCACCCACTTACCCTCAGGTGGAGTGTGTGCTCGTGTGTCACCATTACCAATAAAAAAACGTTTTTGTGCATACATATATATGTATGCAAAGCCGCAAAGTTTCTTTAGTTGTAATCTCAACATCAGTTACGACTCGATAATCAAATTCCGTGTCGTTACGTAAACTGGCTTTCAAATCGGTTAAGATACATATGAAAGTGGAGACAATAAAGTTCAGACATATTACACGCGTATTAATAATTCTTAATATTATCATCTTCATTATTACGTTCCTATAGTATAATAGTATATAAGTCGTTTTATTTGACCCGGATCGCATTAAAATATTGATGATTGCATTTTTCTAACGTTCCAGATCAAACAATTGACAGGATCTACGATCAATGAGTATACTAAAGACTGACGACCGACATTAGCCAAGCGAGTCTCATATATTATAGAGTACTGAAATTTGAAATGATCCATTTGATCGACCCGAATGACCCGGATCTTAAGACGAATCAATATTTGTATAATCGAGTCATTAGAAATGAATGAATGACACATGTCTAAACTAAGCCTATGTTCAGTAGTGTTCTTGTATACAGGTACTATAGGTCTTCATAGACTTTTATGTACTAGGTTGTATATAGTTCTAGATACTATGGATTATTTCAAGGAATTCTACAAAGCATAGTGCAGAGCCGCCTACATCCATCGAATTCCTGCATCTCTTACCACTCCATCACGCCGTCTAGTTGGGACCTTCCTATAATTTGCTTACCAGAACGAAGCTGCTACTCGACAACCTCTCTTCCGCATTGTTTGTCGGTTCTACTTACTATAAGGCCAGCCACTTCAACGTTCTTATCCAATGCACTATGTCAGTCATCCTGGGTCTACTGCAGATACCCTCATTAGAAAGAACTTCTCACGCAGAGCAATTCCAAGTAGGTATAGCCCTCTCCATAGTCCGATGAGTGACGGTGAACTTCCTCATACCGACAGGAGCGAACGAACATGTTTCAGATAAACATGTCATCACTGGCAACAAGCTCTGGTTTTTCACCCTTATTTTCAAAGTATGCGGTACACGTAACGAGAAGAAGAGTCTTAATCTTTTGAACGCTGCCCATCCGAGTTGGATTTGTCGTTTGATCTCTTGGTCGAAGTTGGACTTACCTAGTCAGACAATTTGTCGTATAAATATACTCGTTAACAACTTCGAGCCTACTGTTCCCAGCAACTACTGGGCCGGACGTGGACGTACCTGTGACATGGACGTTACACATAAACTTTATTTCAAAATCTATAAATACCTACTATATACAGTAAAGAACCTACAAAAACATGTTATGGTAGGGGCTGTTTCTACGAGAGTAATGGAACAGAGATCTCACACTATTTTGACAGCTCCCTAGTGTAGTAGCCCCTTGGATTCGAATCTAATACGAAACAAACGTTTGTATGATCTACTAATAATTGTTTCGATTCTAAATGTTTGTTCTTATTCAATTTATGATTATACTCCTACGATTACGACGACAATAAAATGTCCTGTTTTAAGAATGAGAAGCGAACACATAGACATGACATCTATCCTCGGTTAAGAATTAAAATGCAGATGCGTAGTCACCCTCCAGTCCTCAGACTAAGATGGAATGCCTCATTTCCAGGAAAATGTCTCCGGTATTCTACACTCACTATACAAAACACAGCAGC